TTGTATTCAAACAGCGCTGCACGAGCTCGCAGCACCAGGGTTCACAGTCCAAAGCACGAGGAAAATCTGCGCTGATACAGTGTTACTTGCCAGTTGCTCAGTCACATTTTGATGCATTTTTACAAGGCATGGATGTGACAATGTGATGCGTGCAACAACCGTCTTCCCAAATTCTTAATGAGAATCATTTATAAAGTTGCTGTTGTCAACAAAAAGAAGCACTGAAGACTTCCTGGGGGTTTCCGCCAAAATAAAAACTCCATCAACATTCATAAATGTTAGCATTGTAATTTTACTGTTGTTCTGTAAAATAAAATAAAATAAAAAAGTGAAACAATAATAATGATGATAATAATTACAACAGCTATATTAATACTAGTGCTGTCAGACGATTAATCGCGATTAATCGCAGCCAAAATAAAAGTTTTTGCTTACATAATATGTGTGTATTGTGTATATTTATTATGTATATATAAATACACACACATACAGCATATATTTTGAAAATATTTACGTGTACATTTATATTAATATAATTGATATAATGTATGAATATATTTAATATATAAACGTAACATTTTCCTTAAATATATACATGCATGTGTGTGTGTGTGTTTATATATACATAATAAATATAGACAGTGCACACACATATATTATGTAAACAAAAACTTTTGTTTTGGATGCGATTAATCGCGATTAATCGTTTGACAGCACTATTAATACATTTATTATAACATTCACACATAGTGTTCAAATCTGTTAATAGATTTGTATCTATCTGTGGGATCTGAAATATATTCTAATGTTTTAAAAGAAGTCTCTTCTGTTCAGCATGTCTGCATTTATTTGTACAGTAAAAAATACATGCCTGATTCAAGAAGGGGGTCTCATTATTTTACTTATTCATTTTAAGTGAAGTTGTGCTTTGTTGGTATAATGTCTGCTAGAATGTTAAATAAATGTTCAGTGTTAAGTAAATATTTTTCTTTGAAAAGACAAAAGAGTAAAGGCAAAATTTGGGTATTTAATTTATGCGATGGTGAAAAAATTATACATGGGGGGGACCGTGTTCGGCCTTTTTGTTCGGCTTCGGTCAAGAATTTTAATTTCGGTGCATCCCTATTACTTTCCATAAAAAGTAACTAAGCAACATTACTTTTTGTCATCTGAGCGGGGCTTGCTTAGTTTTTGAATAACAAAAAACCCAAATATTATATTCTTGGCAACTCTCAATTTCTCTCAACACGGGGACAGGAGAGCTGTCAGCCAATAAATTGGAAAACAAAGTAACTCAAGAAAAAGTAGCTCAGATATTTATTGTAAATTTAAAAGTAATGAATTACTAGTCACTTGAAAAAGTAATCTGATTACATAACTCATGATACTACTCATGTGTTCCCCCCTCTTCTCTTCTAGGCTCCTGGTTACGGTGACGTCAGGCTTTCTCTCGAGTTGATCCCAGACACGGTCAGTCTAGAGGAGCCCTTCGACATCACCTGTAAAATCACAAACTGCAGGTAAGAGCACTGTTGTGCGTCTGTCTGTGTGCTCGTACTGTAATCGGTGAGTGTTATCCGCTGGTTTGTTTGCTGTCAGTGAGAGGACCATGGATCTGGTGCTGGAGATGTGTAACACTCGCTCCGTTCACTGGTGTGGGGTGTCAGGCAGACAGCTGGGGAAACTCAGCCCCAGCGCTTCCCTCTCCATTCCTCTCAAACTACTGTCCTCCGTCCAGGGTTTACAGGTACGCCAAACTCAGACATCATCAATGGGCTTTTTTCATGCATTTATAGCAAAGGCTTAAAAAACTGCTTTTCAGTCCACAGGATGTTGAAATGAAATCTGAATTAGAAAGGCAATAGGATTTTACTGAATTATAATTCTAAAAAACTCAATGCAGTCAGTCACACAACCGAGGAATTTCATTAGTCTAACAGAAATTATGCAACAGCTGTAACAATATAATAACTACATTTCAATTATAAAAGTATAAATTGTAACTATGCCTATTTATTTTCAACTGAATCAAGATATTTCTCTAAAATGACAATACTTTTTTTTTTTCTAAAGCGCTGCAAAATGTCCATCACATTGTTTTCAGAATAGTTATTGCGAAACATAATTAGGCGATACATTTTGCTCTTCTACAATGACTCATGAATAGAAAATTAATTTCTTAAATATAATGAAATCAAATAAATACACATTTCTGTAGGTGATATTTTAAACATTGATTATTACTATCATCAAATGTTTCAGAAAAAAAAAAAGTTTTATGTATGCTAATAACATGTTTATGAGTATTCATATAGAAAAATGCTGTATATTTTAAAAATGACAGCAATTATATGAATTTCTGTAATTTCTTTATAAGCATTGAATTCAATTTTAATTATGTATTAAATGTTTTCAAAATATTATGTACTATATATAAATGATTCTGTGTCCTGTTTACTACTTGAATGCAAATTAATTTAGGAACTTATTTAATATTTAGCAACTTTGCATGTGAAATGACTGACAACACCTGCTATAACATGCCAAGAGCTTAGCCAATCATAACAACCATGTCATTTAAAGATTCTCTTAAAGGTACAGTGTTTAAAAAAAATGGGATCAGAGAAAATGTGGCATATGATTACCGAAACGATCGTGTAAAATTAAATAAAATAAATATTTAGGTGCAATAATCATCATAACTGGGGTACTGGAATACAATAAAATAACATAAAAGTGTAGCATATGACCTCTTTAAAAACTAGATTTTTTTTCCCCCTCATTTCTGTTTTTTTTTTTTTAGAGCATATCAGGACTGAGGCTAACAGACACCTTCCTGAAGAGGACGTATGAATATGATGACATCGCACAGGTCTGTGTGGTGTGTCCGTACACCAGTCCAGAGAGCTGAAACCCTGTGGCATTTTGCACTGTGTCAATGGACCAACTCCCATCTGTCCTGCATCTATTAATATAACACCTTCTGCTCTTTACCTTAAAGCTTGCTGTTTTAAAATGTCATTTTTAAGCCCTTAATCATGATTTTAACTGTCTTGTCAATGTTTATTAGAGTATCTGATTTTAACAGTACTTAAGTATTTTACACGTACAAATTGTAGGCTCAAAGATGCATTAGTCCTCGACAACTAAGAGAAATGCCAGTGAAAACGAAGAAACAGTCGATTTGTGAGGAGAGTAATCCACGTTTATTTTCTAAAATCGAAAATGAAACTGAACACCTCAAAACAAGGCGTCTACAAACACTTAAGTCTCATTTAAGTTCAAGTACTCAAACGGGCGTAAGTCAACCAGTATCCTTCAAAAAGGCCTCAGCTATGTCCTCATCTTATATATGAAACATCTGGGATTCACAACTACCTGCTAATGCACTCATATTTGCCTTGTTGGCAAGTTTGGTGAAGTAAGGGCAAAAAATGCACATGCTGTAGTACCGTCAAAGTCTTGTAGATGGCGATATCATTTCTTTTGTAGCAGAAATAAACTGCTACAGAAAAAGTTAGGTGTCATGGGTGTCATGCCAAGTAACTGCACTACTCATCACAAATGTATTGGAGAAAAGAGTACATATGCTTACTCAACTTACTCAAAAAGAAGAGAGTAAAAGATACTAATATCTTCAATACTAAGTCGCCAAAAAGATACTACCATATTGACCCGAATATAAGACGATGTTTTTTTCTTGGAAATACATCTGAAAAAACGCGGTAGTCTTATATTCAGGGTCTAGACTTTGACATGTCAATAATACACCCACAACAATAGGTGGCGCCAAATACGCATAAAA